GCATGCACAATTACATGACACTTACTTTTATTGAAGATCTGGTGATGATTGATGGGATGGGAGGAGGGGAGAGAGAGTGTTAGTGTTTTTGAAGGGGAATCCCCTTCCATTAAGACTTGAGGTGTCGAGTCCTTTTCTGGGGTTACTTCCCTTCTTCTTTTAATGCCACTAGGACCAGCTTCAGAGTCACTGGACTTCTTTCGCACAACATATCTGTCCATAGTGGCCTGTACCTCTCGTTCCTTTATGACTTCCCTAAAATGTTTCACAACATTGTCAGTGTACAGGTTGCCAACACGGCTTGCAATAGCTGTGTGAGGGTGATTTTCATCAAAAAAGGTTTGCACTTCAAGCCATTTTGCACACATTTCCTTAATCTTTGTAGTAGGCAATTCCTTCAATTTCTCTCTCCCCTCCTTTGAACCAGTTTCCTCAGGTCTGGCCTCTTGCTCTTGAAGTTGATCTATCAGCTCATCAGTGGTTAGTTCTTCATTGTCGTCCTCCACCAACTCTTCCACATCCTCCCCACTAACCTCCAACCCCAAGGACTTCCCCAATGCCACAATTGATTCCTCAACTGGCATACTCCTCTCAGGTTAGCCTCAAACCCTTCAAAATCCCTTTTGTCTACACATTCTGGCCACAGTTTCTTCCAAGCAGAGTTCAAGGTCTTCTTAGTCACTCCCTCCCAAGCCTTACCTATAAGGTTTATACAATTGAGGATATTAAAGTGATCTCTCCAAGAGTCTCTTAGAGTCAGTTGAGTTTCTGAGGTCACTACAAAGCACCTTTCAAACAGAGCTTTTGTGTACAGTTTTTTGAAGTTTGCAATAACCTGCTGGTCCATGGGCTGCAGGAGAGGAGTGGTATTAGGAGGCAAAAACTTGATGTTAATGAATTTCATGTCCCCATAAAGTCGCTCTGCCACGTCTGTAGGATGACCAGGGGCATTGTCTAACACCAGGAGGCACTTAAGTTCTAATTTCTTTTCAGTTAGGTAATCTTTCACATTGGGGGCAAATGCATGGTGTAACCAGTCATAGAAAAAGTCCCTAGTGACCCATGCCTTACTGTTTGCCCTCCACAGCACACACAAATTTTCCTTGAGGACATTCTTTGTTGCCTGAACGGTCTGGGAGTTTCAGAGTGATACACTAATAAAGGCTTCACTTTGCAATCACCAGTAGCATTGGAACACATCAACAAAGTAAGCCTGTCTTTCATAGGCTTATGTCCTGGGAGTGCCTTTTCCTCCTGAGTAATGTAGGTCCTGCTTGGCATTTTCTTCCAAAACAGGCCTGTTTCATCACAATTAAACACTTGTTCAGGTTTCAGTCCTTCAGTTTCTATGCACTCCTTGAATTCCTGCACATATTTTTCAGCCGCTTTGTGGTCCGAACTGGCAGCCTCACCATGCCTTATCACACTATGTATGCCACTACGCTTCTTAAATCTCTCAAACCAACCTTTGCTGGCCTTAAATTCACTCACATCATCACTAGTTGCAGGCCTTTTTTTAATTAAATCCTCATGCAACTTCCTAGCCTTTTCGCTTATGATCGCTTGAGAAACGCTATCTCCTGCTAGCTGTTTTTCATTTATCCACACCAATAAGAGTCTCTCAACATCTTCCATCACTTGCGATCTCTGTTTCGAAAACACAGTTAAACCTTTGGCAAGAAACAGCTTCCTTGATTGCCTTTCTGTTGCCCACAATAGTAGAGATGGTTGATTTGGGTTTCTTGTACAACCTGACCAGGTCGGTGATACGCACTCCACTTTCATACTTATCAATGATCTCTTTCTTCATCTCTATTGGAATTCTAACCCTTATTGCTGTAGGGTTGGAACTAGAAGCTTTCTTGGGGCCCATGGTCACTTATTTTCCAGATAAAGCACTGAAAACACTGTAATAATACGAAATATTCCGATTGTATGCTTGGATGTTACCGCGGAGGCTGGCTGGTAAACAATGCCACCGGCGGAACATACGAGGCTGGCTCAGGCCGCACATTGGACGCGTCTCGGACGAAGGGCGCTGAGCGGGTTTTTGGGCGGTATGCGAGGCAAAATTTTAGCGATCAAAGCGTCCGGTATGCGGATTGTACGTTATGCAAGGCGTCCGGTATGCGGGGGTCCACTGTATTTCAGTTAAATTTTCATTTAGTATTCATTTTTAGTTTTCGTGTGCTGTATAATTTTACACATTTTTTATGTAGCAGTTAGTACATTATATTAATAAATTATTATACAGCCTCTCCTCACTTAACGATGGAGTAAACGAATTCATCGCTAAGTGAGGAGCATACTATAATGGTAGTGGGTTTGTGTCAACAGTCTTTGATATTGTTTTAATGTTACCTTTGCACCATTTATAACATTTCTAGTATATTTTTAAATGTTTATACAGTAGTATATTGTATAGAGTAATAAACAGAATAGAGAAAATCAGCTCTATGTATATTTAGGTATGCATACTGGTCAGAGAGCCTGTCGTAAGTCTGAGTTGTAGGTAAACGAGTACGTCACTAAGTGAGGAGAGGCTGTATTGTCATTTTTGGTCTGGAATGAATTTATTCTATTTGCATTATTCTTTATGGGACATTGGGACCGAATTAAGTTCGACAACACGGTCGTCTCCCAATGAGGGTGACCCAAAAAAGAAACACTTTTACCATCATTCACACAATCACATAATCACTGATGCCCAGATATGACAGCTTAGATGTCACTTCAAACAGCTAATATCCCAAACCGCTCTTTAAACTGTACGCATTTTACTTCCCACCTCCGTGACTCAAGTCCGGCTAACTGGTTTCCCTGAATCCCTTCACAAAATATTACTCTGCTCACACTCCAACAGCTCATTAGGTCCCAAAAATCATTTATGTCTATCCACTCCTAACACACTCACACATGCCTGCTGCATGTCCAAGCTCCTTGCACACAAAACCTCTTTTGCCCCTCCCTCCATCCTTTCCTAGGATGACCCACACCCCTCTTCCCCTCCATTACAGATTTATACACCCTTCAAGTCATTCTATTTTGCTCCACCCTCTCTAAATGACCAAACCACCTCAATAACCCCTCTTCAGCCCTCTGAATACCTTTTGTAACTCCACACCTCTTCCTAATTTCCACACTACGACATCTCCACTGCCTCCAGCCTTTTTCTTGCTGCAGCATTCACAACCCATGCTTCACACCCATATATGAGTGTTGGTACCATTATACTCTCATACATTTCCCTCTTTGTTTCTATGGATAACATACTTTATCTCTACAGACTTCTGTGCTCCACTCACCTTTTTCTCCTGATCAATTCTATGGTTAACCTCATCTTTCATAGATCCATTTGCTGACAAGTCCACTCCCAAATATGTGAATGTTCACATTCACTTCCTCCACACTCCCTCCCTCCAATCTGATAGCCAGTCTTTTATTACCTAAATTTTCTGTTATCCTCATCTTGCTCTTTTCTATGTTCACTTTTAATTTCCTTCTTTTACATACCCTTCCAAACTTGTTCACCAACCTCTGCAACTTCTCTTCAGACTCTCTCAAAAGCAGTGTCATCAGCAAAAAGCAGCTGTGACAATTCCCACTTTGTGTTAGATTCTTTTTCTCTTAGTCCCACACCTCTTGCCAACAACTGAGCATTCACTTCTTTTACAACTCCATCTATAAATATATTGAACAACCATGGTGACATCATGCATCCCTGTCTAAGGCCTACTTTTACTGGGAAATAATCTCTCTCTCTCTCCTACATATTCTAACCTGAGCCACACTATACATCTGCAACAACTGCCACACTGTTTTCCTATCCACCCTATCACATGCCTTTCTCAAATCTTTAAGTGCAATGAAAGCCTCTTCACCCTTATCTAAATACTGTTTACCTATATGCTTCACTGCAAACATTTGGTCTACACATCCCTACCCTTCCTCTAGCTTCCTTACTTATCTGCAATTCTGCTTTCTGTCTTACTCTTAATTCTTTCAATAATAACTTTACCATACACTTTACCAGGTATACTCAACAGTATTTAATACTGATAGTTACATAAATATTAATTTTTACCTTAAATTCTGGTTGCTGGTGCATGTCAATGATCCTGATAAGAGTGGAGAGGGATGGTGAGGTTGTTTTTACTGATGTTGAAAACTGTACTGGAGTACTGATTAGTTTCGTAATACCTCTTTGGTCTCTTTTACCCTCCAGTACTTTGGGCAGCAGATGGTAAGGCATCACCAGCTGCTCTAGACCCCAATTCAAAGCAGTGCCTTTAGATTTATCAGGGTTCTCTTCAGTGAAAAAGTCTGCTTGTTTAGCAGCAACATGGAATTGTTCGTGTAACTGTTGCGAAGTTGTTTTGCCTCAGGTTCTTCCTCTGTTATCTGCCTCCCTTGTATCTGGGCACTGAGCTCTGCGAACGTTTCTTTTGGACTTCTCTGTCGTCATCTAACAGTTATTCACGTTTTCCTGCATATCTTCAGCCCTCACCTGGCAATCTGCTTGCCAGCTGAACAATTTCCTGCACCTGGTTCTCAACTTAGAGAAAACCTGTGAAAATATTCGCTACACAAGACCTGAATTTTCTCCAGTCTGCATTTAGTGTCGATTGGAGCACTTCATTCCATGGACTTTTGATGTGGCTGATTGCATCTATAATGTTAAATTTACACTAAAAGTTTGGCTCTCCAAGCTTGGAGTCAGCTTCCAGTGCTGAAACAAATTTCCACATCACTTTTCATGCACAGTTACACTTAAATGTCATAATAATTTCATGAATCAGTGATTGTATTAAAGATGTGGATACATATCCACCAAAGCCTCTGGAAGAGTAGGGAAATTATCAAGAGTGAGGAGAACCTTGGCTCCAAAGTTCTTGCTGCAGAGGTAAAACATGGTTTTGGGAATAATGTGATGCTTAAGGAAGGTCTAACATTGGGAGCAAAGGGAAAAAAGTACTTAGGGTAAAAAAGGAATTTAAAGATAATGCTCGTGAGTTTTAGTTAAAATTTCATGGGGAGAATTTGCATTAAACCTGTAATTTTCAGAGGTAGGCAGACACAATAAACATGTCCGGGTGCCAGTCTTCTGAATGTATTTATATACGGTATTTCAAGATAATATTCAGTACAGCTACTTCATTTTTAAATGTTCTACTGTCTCTAAAACTACAGTTAGCTACAGTAATGCATGATATACATACTGTACATGAAAAAGTAAAATATTTTGCGGGCAGAGGTAAAAATAAGAAGAAGAAAAAAAAAAAAACAGATTCCATACGTTGTGCAAGTTTTCTCTTCAACAAATTTTAGTAGTAATTTATAAGCTACCAGTAAACTGTTTTAGGAAGAAAAAAACATTTGCATGAAGGAGGGAATTTGAGACTTTTTTTAGAAGCAATTCTCCTATAATCACCACGTAAGAAATTCAAGATGTTTCAAATATATTTGTCAAATAAGTCTGACCAATTAGGAACACTGCTACTCTGATCTATTCACTGTACAGTACAAGCAATATATGAGACTATGATAATTTAGTTACTAGAGCAATAAGCATTGAATTAATACACCAATAACTAGCTAAAAAATATATATACTATTTTGATATAAACACAAAAGTAAGTATTATTTAAAATTCTTAATTAAAAACTGAACTGTATTAAAATGCAAATTTTTCAGAAAATGTATTAATATGACTACCAATACCAACTAATTAACATATCCAGAAGTGATTCCATTCACTATGCTAAGCAAAAGATAATGTATGAACATAGGTCTTCAATAAGGAACTAAACAAGTTCCAAAGCCTGATCAGTCAGATTGTGATGGCTCTCTGAGCCTACAGGCCATGAGCAGCAAATGTCTGACTGAGTAGGCAGTCACCAGGAAAGTCAGGCTTTAGGTTAGACTGTGAGAGTAGAAAAACTCTCAAAACTAGTCACAGATATATTACAGCCTTCAGTTGTCTTGTAAATCCAGTGAATGTTCAACACAATACATTAAAAAACATCAGTTCTCCTTAGAAAGTGCCTGCATTATCTAAAACAATAATATAATATCTATGTTAATCACTGATGTCATCATAAATGTATTATTTATACACATATACAGTATGCATACTTTAAAAAATACATATAAATAACAAATATCAATACAGTACTGATAATTTCAGTTAATCAACATCCTCATTGTGTTTTGAATACCTGAGGTATTGTTGTATCCAGCAACTGCACTTTGTACAGTACAGTATTACCTATCTTACTACAGTAGTAAGCTCTTGTGCCATATTGTACTTGTATATTTACTAAGCACACACTAGGCTTAAATACCTGGATCAAAGGCAATACAGTATTAATTTCCATATTATACAACAGAACAGAATATTCTCATATTCATGTAAATATGTCCCAATCAACATCATCTGTCATTCTGCTGGCGCACTACTCTCGTCCCACCACCCAATATTACACAGTCAGGTCGGGCAACTCTTGCCTCTTGGACAGCACCACTAGTTACATTTGTGTTGGTTACATCAAGCAGCCGTAGTGATGGAACCAACCGAATTATCTCCTGTAAGCCATAGTTAGAGATAGCACATCCAGAAACTACCAAAGTATGCAGGTGTTCAGTTGCTTGGCCAAATGCAAGGACTAACTTATCAGACAAACATTCATCACGGACTTGTTGCAAATCATTATCAGGGTCATCATCTTCTGACTGTTCACTATTTTCATGATCATCTGCATCCTTTTTACCTTCATCTTCTTTATGCTGATTGTTTTTTAATGAATCACCTTTCTTTTCTTCGTCTTCATCTGTTTCACTTGAGCTGTCCTGCACTTTTCCTTGCTGTCCAGTTGCTGTCTCACCTCCAAAAGATTTATGTTGTCTTTTTTCAGCTTTTTCTTTCATTGCAACATTACCTTCCTCATCATCTTCCCCACCTTCCTCCTCCTCCTCCTCCTCCTCATCATCATCATTTTCTTCTGCTTCAACTGGCCTTCCATCCTTACCAATGAAATAGTGTCTGTCTTCATCTTCCTCGTCTTCTTGGTGGTGTTGGACAACAGGTGCATTTCTCACCCACTGAAGACCCATTCCATCCAGTTCCTCATCATTTACCTGTCGCCACTGAGGCCCATTTGGTCCAACATTGATAACTACAACTTGCTGCCTTTCTTCCTGCCACCGAGGATCTGGCATAATAAGGTTGTGTCCTCCTGGGGGCTCTTCTGGCAAGCGTTTAATGGGTCCCATTGGACCTAAATAGAGGGACTTGAGTTTTCCATTCCTCACAATTGATATAACTTCATTGTCTTCCAAGCTAGTCCCTCTCATATCTAATTCCTCTAAATTTTGGAAACCAAATCGAAAGCCAAGTGCAATGTATGCCATAGCTCTTCCTACCTTTGGCAAATTTCTTAGTACCAATTTCTTTAAAGAGTCAACTTTACTAAGCACCATGACATCATAGTCATCTACCCAAGTGCACTTGATAATTTTCAAACATTCTAATCTAGGAAGAATTTTGTGTGTTCTTTTGAAATATGACCCATCTCTTAATGGTGATGGCAAATTCACAAACTCACAGTCAATCAGACAAAATTTATTAAGAGACTGGACAGGCATAAAATCGGTCACTTTAAGTTTGTTGGCATCAATATATGCTTCACTTAATGTTAATTCCTCAAGATTAGGGCATCTTTCTCCAATCAACTTTAAAAGGCCAGCACTTATAAGAGGAGTCTTCCATTTTGGAGTCCCTGCATATTTCTTCTTATGACCTCGCAGAATTAAACGGCGTGTAGTTGGGCGTAAAAACACATGGCATCGCCTAAGTTGCTGTAATGATAAACATCCTTCACTGAAGTTTACATCAATCCACAATGACTTGTCACTTGCCACTTTGTTGAAACGTTCACATGTTCTGAAAATAGACACAGAAATTGTAATATGTTTAATCTAGGTCTTGTGTGTGATGTCACATATACAGGTGGGTCCCACTTTACAGCGCTTTGCTTTACAGCATTTCACTAAAGCAGCGGTTTTCAATTATACCCATTCTTTATTATTCAGACTTTCTACAATAAATATATTCATCACTCACTAAGCTAAGGATGAAAATATTTTAAGGTAAATAATGTGTGTGTAATGTATATGCAGTTTTTAGGCTCAGCTCTTTTACTCAATATATGATAGTGTAAACATGTTACTAGGCTTTTATATGCATCTAAAAATGAAAAAAAGGTTATGTTTCACTTTACAGAGGTGGCCATGAGCCTAATCTGCTGTATAAGTGGGGCCCTCCTGTACAGCAAAATAGTATCTATGAACCTGTAGCTTAAAAAAAGAGCAGTCTTCTATTAAGCTTTTATTCTAAACCACAGTAAAATGCTTATAAAATGCCCAAGAGATGAAATGTGAGAGTAAAACCCACATAAATTTAGCAGTAAGTTTGCAACAGGGCATGATCAAAACTTAAAAAAAAAAAAAAAAACTACTGTACCTTGATATGAGTTTGGCAGATGGTTATGCCAAAGTCAACCTACCAGTAACTCTGATAAAGAGTGATGGTAAAGAAAGATGGCAAAAAGGTATACATGGTCACCACTGGTTGTTTTGCATTCTCTGATGCTCACTGGACAGTGTTTCCTGATTTTCCAAAACTACAACTTAAAATTATAGTGCATTTCTGTACATGGAGGCCTGTTCTGGGACTGGTCCATGGAGGTGGTGACCTCTGGAAGCAACACACACACAAATATACAAACAGGACAACAACTGCGAGGACTGTGTGGAGCTCTGCAATGAATACTGAGGACTCTCATGGTAGCTGTGCACAGTAAGACTTCTCACCAGCAACCACAGCAATGCCAACACCATCCTTGTTCTTAGACTTGCCAGTAAAGACCTCTATATTTGAATCATGAAATAAATCACGTTGCAGTAAATTAGCTAAGGTCATCACTAGAGTGCCCACACTCTAAAATCGACATGAATAAATTAGAAAAGGTTCAAAGAAGAGCTACAAAAAGATTACCAGAATTAAAAAAAAAAAAAAGGAAAGTTGGAAGGGCATGATAGAGGATTTTTTTTGTACCAGCAGTAGGGACAACCAGAGGAAACAGCAGTATATTGAAGAAAATGCAGTAGACTATTTAAGTGCTACAACCACTGGAAATTCTGAAGATTACGAAGAAATTCTTGAAGATGGAACACCACATGCATAACTCTGCTTTTGTAGCTACAAATAAGTAATTATAAACATATAATCACAAATAGGTAATTACAAATATACAATCACAAATAGGTAATTTTAAACAGATAATCACAAATAAGTAATTATAAACATATAATCACAAATAGGTAATTACAAACAGATAATCACAAATAGATAATTACAGATAATCACAAATAGGTAATTACAAACACATATAATCACAAATAGGTAATTACAAACACATAATCACAAATAGTTAATTACTGATATCACAAATAGGTAATTACAAACAGATAATCACAAATAGGTAATTACAGATAATCACAAATCGGTAATTACAGACATATAATCACAAATAATTAGATATTCATAAACAGGTAATTGCACAGATAATCACAAACAGGTAATTACTGGCTGAGTCTGAAGACTTGCTACCTGATACAATTCCATTTAATATCTCGACATCTTAAATTAATCACCATAAAGGATAGCGAAGGGCTCTTGATCCAAGGAACTGAAGCTTTTAGCCACTTCCTCGGATCCAGCCTCACATTACACACCCGTAATATCCTTAAACATTTATCGCTTCCCCATGATTATAATACTACTACTAGTTAATTGTGATTAAATAAGAGAAACCTATTGTGCAAGCGAGATGAATTAACTTACTGTGACAAAGTAAGCAGATCCCACGACTTCAAATAGGAGAATATGAGTAGGAGGACGTCATCTGACAGCTCAAGGATAGAAGGTTGGGCAAAAAATGCCATAGCGGCCTCCTCTGAGTAGAAAAATTACAGGCAGCTCACACACGGACTACACAGAAACAATTACAAAGCCTCGGCCTCAGACGCGTCCGATACCTCCATCACTGTAGTCACACGGATTATATAAATTAATCGTGCCAACACTTATTGCTCATCTGTTTATCTTTTTACTCCTAGGAATATATTTCAACCCATTAAAGCAAATACAAATAATGTAACAAACATTACTTATTATTTCAGGTGACGCAAAGGAATTTTGAGCCACAGTCATTTGCACAAACGAACACTAATATCTGGTGTAAACTTGAGAGCATTCATTGTAAGAAAAAGGTCTTATTTACTTGTCACTATTAAGGTGAAAAAACTTATCTCAAATCTTTAAAATAATATGAGAGCAGTAAAAATTTATTGTGTAATATATTACAAGGTGTCCTTGACTAAACATGAATTTACTGGACTGGCAGCGGGAATTTTAAGGAGCTAAAGTTGGGGTTCCTGGAGTTTACCTGGAGAGAGTTCCGGGGGTCAACGCCCCCGCGGCCCGGTCTGTGACCAGGCCTCCTGGTGGATCAGAGCCTGATCAACCAGGCTGTTGCTGCACGCAAACCAACGTACGAGCCACAGCCCGGCTGGTCAGGTACCGACTTTAGGTGCTTGTCTAGTGCCAGCTTGAAGACTGCCAGGGGTCTATTGGTAATCCTCCTTATGTATGCTGGGAGGCAGTTGAACAGTCTCGGGCCCCTGACACTTATTGTATGGTCTCTTAACGTGCTAGTGACACCCCTGCTTTTCATTGGGGGGATGTTGCATCGTCTGCCAAGTCTTTTGCTTTCGTAGTGAGTGATTTTCGTGTGCAAGTTCGGTACTAGTCCCTCTAGGATTTTCCAGGTGTATATAATCATGTATCTCTCCCGCCTGCGTTCCAGGGAGAGCTCAGAGCAAAGGGCTGGCCAATTACCTCTTTCCCATAGCCAGGTTGTGCGTGTGGACTCCTCACCTCGTTCTGTTGGGATCTTAAGTGTCGTAAAAACAGTCTTGTGGTCAGATGATCCAACGTAGCCGAGGGGTTGACAAGTGACTATACCTTCTGCTAGATCGCTCACTACTGGGTCAAGGGAGGAGCCAGAGATGTGAGTAGGGAAATCAACAAAGTTTCTCATGTCAAATACTGCAAAAAGATCATCAAAGCCCCTCTGTATAAGGTGCTGGTTGAGGTCACCAACAATTATGACATGTTGACAGTTGTGTTGTAGCAGAAGGGAGTCCACATTTTCCATTAGGAAGTTGATGGGGTCTGCATGTTGCCACTGAGGTCTGTACATTGCACATAATAGTACAGAGATACTAGTGTTTATGCATAGCTTGAAGATCATCTCTCTCTCTCTCTCAACTTGTTTGGGCTGTGGGCCCAGACGAGTTGAGCCCAAGATTGCTGAGATGTGCAGATCAGCTAGCAGCACCTCTAACTCTCATCTTTCACCACTGTCTAGTACAGTGTAAATGGCCCTCTCTGTGGAAAGAGGCAAATGTAGTCCCTGTTCACAAAAAGAAGAGCAGAGCAGAAATCAGCAACTACAGACCAGTGTCACTCCTGTCAATCACTGGCAAGCTCCTTGAGACAATAATCTCAAGACAAATGACAAAGTTTTTTGACTATCACTCACTACTTTGTGACCGTCAATATGGCTTCAGGAAAGGTTACTCTGCTGCTGATCTGCTGTTAAACCTCTCCACTAAGTGGCACCAGTCACTGGATGAATTCAAAGTCCGCTGTGTGGTAGCACTGGACATTGCTGGTGCTTTCGACCGGGTGTGGCACCAGGGTATCTTAGCAAAACTGCAGGCTCTGGGAATTGCAGGCTCTACGCTATGTCTCCTCAGTGATTACCTTCATGGTAGATCTCTAAGGGTAGTTCTCAATGGAACAGAATCAGCAAGACATCCTATTTAGGCAAGTGTTCCACAAGGAAGCGTTCTGGGACCATTGTTATGGAATGTCTACTTCAATGACCTTCTTCATCTCATCCCAGAATCCCATGCGTATGCAGACGACTGTACACTGACATTCACTTATCCAAGAGAAGAAATACCAGTTGCTCTAAGCTACATCAATCACCAGATAAGAGCTATATCAGCTTGGGGAAATAGATAGCAAGTAACATTTGCACCTGAGAAAACACAAATGATGATCTCTAGGCACCATGATGGTAATGCTGGTGCAGTAGTAAGGATGAATGGGAGGGTGTTTGCACCCGGAGAAGTTGATATCCTTGGGGTGAATTTTGACTCTAAACTGACCATGAAAAACCATGTAAATCTTGCAAACAAGGCAGCCAGGAAGCTTACAGCACTTCGCTGTATCTCACATCTGTTTGACAGCAGGGGTTGCAAGATTTTGTACGAGGCACAAGTACGCTCACACCTTGAGTATGCTCCACGTTCTTGGTTCGCCTGCCCCCCTTCTCACCTGCGACTGGTTGACAGAGTAGAGAACAGAGCAAGGCGTCTCATCTCTCGCCTGGACCCATCCTGGATAGATCTGTCACTTCAGTAGAGCCTTCAACATAGGAGGGATGTGGGTGGCCTTACTGTTATGTACAAGGCCAATATTGTCAAAGTACCACACTTGGATCCATTTCGAGGACAGCGTGAAGCAAGCTTCTATACCACAAGACGGGCAGAAAGCAGCAACTTCACTCTGGCTGTACCCGTCTCCAGAACATCACTCCATGTGAGATCATTTATCCCCAGGATGACTCGAGTATGGAACACATTCGTACAGCATTATGTCAACGGGATAAAGTCAGTTGATCAGATGAAAATGCTGGCCCACAGATGGCTGCAAGTTCATCCTGTTCCCTACTTGTATATTTCATAACAATAAAAATGCTTTCAAATGAGCTGATGTAGGTAACAGCTCTTAGCTTGTCAATAAAGCTAGGGATCCTTAACCTAACCTTGTCAAACCCTGTGTAAAAGAGAGAGAGAGAGAGAGAGAGAGAGAGAGAGAGAGAGAGAGAGGGGAGAGAGAGAGAGAGAGGAGAGAGAGAGAGAGAGAGACTAATAAGTAGAGTTTATTAGGTAACACAAATAAAGTACATAGGGTTATCATACATAAGCAGATATGTGTAGAGGGAACCTGGGATACCAAAAAAGTCAAAGTGGTTATTTCCATGGGATCCTTACAATTAGGGACAATTAGGGCACTTTCGGGCACTTTCGGGATTTAGGGCATTTCGGGAACTTTCGGGCACTTTAGGGACAAGAGGGCACTTTCGGGCACTTTAGGGCACTTAGAGGCACTTTAGAGCACTTCGGGCATTGAGGGCATTTAGGGCAACGTTAGAGCACTTTCGGTCACTTTCGGGCACTTTAGGGCAAATCGGGCACTGTTAGGGCACTTTCGGGCTACTTTAGGGATCTTAAGCACTGTCAGGCACTTTAGGGCACTTCAGAGCACTTTCGGGCACTTTAGGGCATTCAGAGCACTTTCGGGCACTTTAGGGCACTTCAGAGCACTTTCGGGCACTTTAGGGCAACATTCAGAGCACTTTCGGGCACTTTAGGGCACTTCAGAGCACTTTCGGCACTTTAGGGCACTTCAGAGCACTTTCGGGCACTTTAGGGCACTTCAGAGCACTTTCGGGCACTTTAGGGCACTTCAGAGCACTTTCAGGCACTTTAGGGCACTTCAGAGCACTTTCAGGCACTTTAGGGCACTTCAGAGCACTTTCGGGCACTTTAGGGCACTTCAGAGCACTTTCGGGCACTTTAGGGCACTTCAGAGCACTTTCGGGCACTTTAGGGCACTTCAGAGCACTTTCAGGCACTTTAGGGCACTTCAGAGCACTTTCGGGCACTTTAGGGCGCATAATTTGCAAGAGAAGAGGGCAACAATTCTTGTATACAGTCACATGGCTGTACTAAACATAACAAAAAATTACATAATATTTACTGAAGGAGGGGTGTTAATGTTGCAGTTTAAAAACTGTAGTGTAAAGCACCCTTCTGGCAAGACAGTGATGGAGTGAATGATGGTGAAAGTTTTTCTTTTTCGGGCCACCCTGTCTTGGTGGGAATCGGCCTGTGTGATAATTAAAAAATATTTACTGAAGAATTTTATATCGCCCTAAAACAGTAAGATGACTCGCAGCTCTCAAAAACTTTTTATATGAGAAGTTGTAGACATAATGAGGTACATTCGTCATGTATATGGACCAACTCCGGATAATTTCCTTCACAGTGTCTTGAAGATGTTACTGATGCATCGCGAAATCACCTTTAATTTATTTATATAGTCTTGGGAAATTACTTCAGGTATCACGCATTTTTTTTGCACTGCATACTTATCAACGTTGCAGTGCCGTAAATTATACTAGAATATATAATCTGTCCTGCCTAGTATGAGCCAGTAGGCCTGCTGCAGTGCTCCCTCTTTCTTATGTTCTTAAAAGCCTATGGTATCACGTGCTTTCTGAGATTTAATTAGTGTGGCAAACGTAAGCAAAATACTGTCTATAAACACTTTACAAGGAAGGCAAGAACCACTGAGACACCTGCTTCCGCACCTGACTGAATACTGATCAGAGTAATTAATAACCACACGGAAAGAGCAGATATAATTACTGACAGGTCCTGGACCATACTCTTGGACCCCACGCAGTCTTTAAGCTGGCACTGGACAAGCACCTAAAGTCGGTTCCTGACCAGCCGGGCTGTGGCTCGTACGTTGGTTTGCGTGCAGCCAGCAGCAACAGCCTGGTTGATCAGGCTCTGATCCACCAGGAGGCCTGGTCACAGACCGGGCCGCGGGGGCGTTGACCCCCGGAACTCTCTCCAGGTAAACTCCAGGAATCAACAAAAGGAAGGTAGCAACAACAAGGTGTCCTGACTCAGAGAATTTTCTCTGTATGTCTCTTGTTAAACAATTTTAGTTTCATGATCTACTTACACTGGTGGGCCCCGCCCATCAGTGATGCTGCCTCCATCTGTTGCACTTCACTTCTGGCTCCAGTATACAAGTGCTCATCCTCATGTCTCTGCTTTAGGCTAAGAGGCTGACCACCTTCAATTAGCTAAGGCATGACTCAATCAAGGCTAAGCATGATCA